AGAAGAGCCCAACAAAGCTCTTGAAGACTGGTTCTCTGGATTGATGACATAGGTGTCTGCAATTGTCCACTGGTCCTGGAACTCACAAACAAGCTCTTGCCATGTTGAGATGGTGGCACAACATACATGACTTTTGAGATACACTTGGTGCACAGAATGGTATGGGTTGTTGGTGGTTGGCTGGACTGTGATTCGTCTGCCTGATCTCTAAGGAGGTATCATCCTGTCAGGAAAGAACTCAGAATTAGTATTCAGCCTTATTCACACACACCAGCTCATCTCATCTCTGCCTCCTTTCTCCATCCTCAAAGTGTAACTCTCAAGAACAGGAGACAATGTCTCCTTTCATTTATCTGTCTGTAAAATAGTGCCACGGATAGAAAACAATTTATAAAGTGGAGATAGATAGACACTACCACATATAGATCATCCTCTCTCCACCCTCACATCTGCACTCGCAAACATACAATGTTTACAGTTGGTACCTATATATATTCCACGTCTCTCCAGGCTGCTCACTACACACCCACTGAATCTGTGTCAAACACACTGTTGACTCAGAGCGCCTAGCCCTGACTCCCGGTTAAAGATGACCTAAATTCCCTGTTTCAGTTATGCGACACAAAACTTCGTTTGACTGGTCAGAGAATAATTACTGGTAGGGTTTAATATCTTTACAAAGGGTGTGGGTTATGTAGAGCACCAACTAATTAGTCTGTACATGGGAAGGTCTAAGGTTCGGAGACTGATCTCTGGACATCAAGAACGGTCGAACTCTGTGCGATCACACAGCTGACTCTGCCCTTTCTGCAGCAGTGGCCAACTTTAAAAAGACATCAATTATGGTACTCGTAAACTATAATCAACTTACCCAAGCCTAGGAAATCTTCCAAGATAGAAATTGAACTTTGAATGCGCCAATTTCTATATAGACTGTATACACGTCTTGACACTTTGGGATCAGGCGAAAGATTGCTTTTTTTTTTTTTTCAAAATCAAACTAGCGTCTCTAGGAAAGAAGTCCCCTGTATTCCTGCCCAAGGAGTAAATCGGTTTACAGAAATTTCTAAATAAAATACCAGAATTCGCTAACCTACAGTTGCAAGTTTGAAAATGAAAATTTATCAAAGCAACCAGAGGGTCTAGAAATTAATATTTTACCAGATAAAGGTATGGATCAATATACGGGACTATATACCTCTCCGGACGGGTTGTAAGTTTGAAATTTGACTTTTCGCGAGGGAAATCAAAGTCGCGACTCGTCCATTGTGTAGGGTGGCTGCTAACCTCACGACAGTGGTCTGTCATTCAGACTGAGATCTTCTTCATCTCCGGGTTTCAGGCTGTTCAGGTAGCAGACCAAATGAGATTGAGGACACCACATCTGACTTTACCTACTGGCATAGCTGATGATTATGGCACTATTATTTCTTCATAACCTGCTGACTTAAGTGAGACTTCCTACACTTACATGAGACAGTGAACTTCCCGGTATGTAGGTAGAGCTGCATCATTAGTCCTTTCGCTTGCTTGCTTGCTTTTTGTTAAAGAAAAAGATAATTCGATCTCTTTCAGACTTTTTCAGGTATGTAGCTGATGCCTATAGTTGCGATCTTTATTGAGTTTAGTCATTTCGAGTTTTGGTAAAGTTTTGACCAAGAAACAATAGTCATTTCGAGTGTTGGTCAAAACTTTAGACTGAGATTAGTGTGTACAGAATGTCTTTTGATTATCAGTCAATATATATATACATAACCTGTGTGTGCATGTATACACCCACACACCTACATATTCATAAATATCATGAGAGTAGATGTATGTAACCCGACAATTTTTGCCGCAGAAATATAGTTGGCATACTATTTGTCTGCTGCAAATTATACATGCTCATTTCTCCAGGTCAATATCTAGACATGGTGCCTGCGATTTAGGAAACGGCGTTTGCTGTCTATCAGTAATCAGGCGGTTTCTTTAGCTAGCAACAACAATAATTGCGACACACTCAGAAAAAGAAAGAGGAATATAGAGAGAAAGTGGGGGAGAGGGAAACAGACAGGAAGAGAAAAATATTGTTTCCATTTTTCCAGACGCTAAAGATCTGTTGTGTCATATAAAGTCGTACGAATTGCATCCTATGATGATGGCGAGTGTGACTAGTAATAGCAGCTTGCGTTAAGCCTGATCTTCTAAAAAAAATTGCATTACATATCAGAACCGTGTTTGAAATCACATCTCAGTGCACATACAACATATTTGTGGTGTATCTTCTAGTATAAGTAAATAGCATACAGGTGTGCCCGGGTTCTTCAAGAACTAGGACAATGTGATTTCAGTAGCTCGGGTAACTGAAGAACAGCTCAGAGATGTAGCTATGACAGCCATCTCCATATTCCTAAGTCTATTTAACATTATCTGTTCATGTAGCATAATATGCCATTGTTGTGAGCTTCTTTTTTAACTGCAAATGCTGTATTTGTAAGGGTGGGATTTTTTTTTGGGGGGGGGGGGGGGGGGGGGGGGGCACTTCGTCGTACCCATGTGGGATGCAATTTTTCGTTATTTTGAAGCCCTACCCTGGCGGTCGCCAAGGGCCCTAATATAACCTAGCGGTTGAAAGGGGTTTATCACTCCACGAGTGATCCTCAACTGGCACTTTGTGTCACAGGGTAGTTATCGCTCTATGTGATGCCCTTGTAGGGCAGAACTTACTTATTTAATTACTTTGTGGTAGACGGTCTATAATTACTTTGCCGGAGACTGTCTATAATTACTTTGTAAATGTATGTGATTTAATTCATTTTTGACAATTTTAAATTTAATTAATCCCATGTCAACTGTTTTGTCACATTATATTGAAATCCATCCATATTCTGAAACTGCTTCTGCGAGTGTGTCCTCAGCTTTTACTATGCCGTTTTAATTTGTATAAAGAGCTAAAAGTCTTAGCTCTATATGCTAATTAAAACTGTGAAACTGTAATGGAAGAAGGGGCAGCAATCAACCAGTATAACGGGGAACATCTTGGATATGACAATGCATATGCCAAAGAATGGTCTTGGTAAAGGACTTTCAGGCCTAGATGCGAGCGACGCTACACGAATGCCCTGCTTAGTCACAATAATGAATTCTTTGTGTATTCTTGTGAGTTTGTTTGGTGCCCATCTTTTACAGCAGTATTGTGACAATTTATTTTCAACATCTGTGGATTATTCTCCTTGATCCAGACCTCTGATCTACCGTGATATATATGACTCGTTGTACAGGCCCGTAGCAGACAATCTTTAGGACAAAAACACTAAGTCCAACACCCACAGAGCACACACAACAATCTTTAATGTAAACCACGGACTAACATGAGGTAGTTGACGTCAAAAGATATGGGCTCCCCTATCCGAAACGCAGGCCGTGATGGCTTTACAATTCATCACGCACGCCTTCCCGTTCCCATGGATAATACTCAGGTCCAAACCCCCACTGCTCCTGATAAGCTCATGTTCTTTGCCACTGGACTCCGCCAGAATCCCACATTGCCTGCAAAATGTGGGGGACAGTGTGCAAGGATAGATAATATCACAACAGACAGTCCAGACCAACCCTGGCTATTAGAATACCTCAACAACTATGTATGTAACACATTATACAGAACACTAACTACGTCAAACGCTATACAACACAGAAAGACTACTATAACCAAACTAAACACATTATCACAAGCTATCGGTCGCTACAATATCACTACAACACACTAGAATTCTAAATCGTCACACTATCAGATGTCTCCTGTCTCAAGTCCTCCAGTCCCCTCTATCCGATCTCACCACTGGTTTTTGTCAGTCACACAACTCAGTCCGATCCATGCAGGACTCGGGAATACGCAATCGAAGCATTCACTCAGCCACGATTTACTGTTGTCGTGAATTAATCTTCCTGAACTGTGGGTCAACAATAAGTCATCCAAGTACAAACGCGGACCACCACTATTCTATACACCGACCCATACCCACACAAGACCCTGACACTTCTGGATTAATAAAATGAAAATTATCGGTGACAGTATCTAACTGTAAAAACCTTTATTCTGTTCTTTTCCTTCTCATTATTCATTACCCATTTTCCTGTACATAATACATTCATAATGTATATGTCAAACCATATTTGTCTTCATGTGTGAGTGTTGCCTCGACGTCCTTCGACAGATATTTTTGAAATGTAATTTCCACTTGTGGGTTCCGGGATCCTATCTTATCAAGCATGTCACAAAAGGCGACTTATTTGGGATTTGCTTGTTATCGGATGCGTTACTACAAAACGCTCCCATATCGCAGCCTATCTGTACACCACAGCATAACGCATCAGCCGCTCTTATAAAGGCAAGGCAGAGGGAAAATGCCATTTGTTATTTGGTTTGTCTGTTTTCTTTATCATGTAAGTCTGATTGTAAACTGTTGATTGTTTTGTTCGTGTTTACAAGAGAGCTTTGATTTTATTTCAACAACAGTATCGACAGCTAACCGCTCATGAAGTAATGGCAAACTACTGTTCGTCAAACTACCTACTAAAACCATACAGTAAGAAAATGCTGGGGTTGGCTCTGTAACTTCACATAAAGCATATGCAACTTGCTGACATAATTTGATTATGTTTTGCTTGAATTATTTTAATTCATATACGTCTTCGCTTTTTTATATGTGTGTGTTTGTAAACAAGGCTTGTTGTTGCAACGCTCTTTGTAATCCTTAAAAACCTGTTTTTCCCAAATCTCACATTATAGACTTTTAATGTTTGCTGTTATGTCATTCAGGCCCTGTTGCTGTATCGTTATCTATAAGCATTGCCTTCTTGTCCCCCATACACGGGCAAATCAATATGTGGAAACACACGTACCGACACTCCCGCGACAATATCATCATGCGCCGGGAAAGGTTTGTTTCACGTGTCCTCTCATTTGGAAAGTTCTCCATTGAACCTTCCCACAATGCAACTCTCCTAGTGTAGTAAACATGGCGGATAATAGTGACGAGCACGACAAACCTGGTCTCATCACCATCAATGTTAAAACACCCAAAGAAAAACAAACTGTTCAAGTGAAAGAAGGAGCTTCGGTGCGAGAAGTACGTTAATTGTGATCCGATGCTTTTTATCATAAAATCTTTATTTATTTTAAGAGATTTTTTTGGTGTGTGATAAAAGTAGGACGAGATGAGATGTCGGTGTTGTGACTGTGTGTCTGTCTTGACATTTGACCCGGACTGGACTGATCGATGTCGAACGAACATGCTAGATCTTTCTCGTGAATTTCAGTAACTTTACAAACGAGTTAACTGTAATATGGCTGTGTAAACTGACAGTGTAACATTAAATTGTTTTGTAACCAAATAAATCATACAAAACTTTCATATAGTATCAGTTGAGTACAGTGAGTACTATCTAACTATCAGTATTCAGTATCGCCTATGGGCCCATGACCACAGCTGCTTGTGGGCAGATAATTAATTAACAATAATTATTTTAATTAGTAGTAATAATTTTATTTCTTGCGCCGTCATAAATCAGATAATTATATATAATGCCTCATAGTTTATTATTACCGGCTCTACTTTGAACTTCCCCATAAAATATGGCAGCTACCGCATCTCCTGCAACTTCCTCCAATTACTTTACTCAAGAGTCCCGGGCACCTAGTTTAGTCCGTTCGGATATTTTATGGCCAGAATGTGCCATCATATTACGGCTGCCATTTTATGGGGAAGTTCAAAGTAGAGCCAGTAAGGCTCTACTTTGAACTTCCCCATAAAATGGCGGCCGTAATATGATGCCATTCGAAAGAGATCTAAATTGGCCAATTTCTGGCCCAAAAATATCCGAATGGGGCTCAGTTCTATTAAAAATATATGTGCCGGCTCCACATAACGAAACAAATGCTCAAACAGGGTCTCGGCGATACGTTACTTGCGGACCTGCTTCTGCGAGTGTGCCCTCACCGCTTACCATATCCCCTGCGTTGGTACGCGCGGCGCAGATGGGGACTGAACTAGATGGCTGGGACTCACAAGCGTCAGCTACCGCGTCTCCTGCAACTTCCTCCAAATACTTTTCTCGTGAGTCCCAGGCACCTAGTTTAGTCCGTTCGGATATTTTGGATATTTTATTACCAGAATGTGCCATCATATTACGGCCGCCATTTTATGGGGAAGTTCAAAGTAGAGCCTTATTACCTAATATGGATCATTTATTTATTATGTGTATAATTATTGTAATTGCTAAACAAGGGGAGTGAAATCTGCCACAAGACTTAGTAGACTTTACAAAGACACCCATCCAATGTAACCATTTCTTTTTTTGGTTCTCCTTTCAACTACGGCCACATATTGGAGAAGTACGCCGGTGTTCAGTCTCCTGGCCGCATTGCAATTACGGAATGAAGAAGGGACGAATCACAACCCTAACCTAACCTAAACCCTAACCCTATGATGACAGCAGTGCACTGCACGCTTTCTATCGCTCACGCTGTCTATCGCCAACACACACTAATTACGTCACTTGTTTCGTTCCCTCTTCTCCACTCCGTAATTGCAATGCGGCCAGGGGACTGAACTCCGGCGTACTCCCAAAAATATGTGGCCGTAGTTACAAGGAGAGCCCTTTTTTTAAACTCTGTTTGTTTCCTGTCTATAGTTAGTTATTATAATTGGGCCACTGCCCCTTATCAAGCATGTCCCAAAAGGTGACTTATAAAGGATTTGCCGATATCGGATGTGTTATTACAAAAAGTGCATATTTTGCAGCTTCTATCCTCCGAATAACGGTCCCAAATTATCAAGGCCGTAAATATACGCTAACAGGGCCTCAGTCACCTGTCAATTGCGGACTTCCAGCGACTTAAATTGCGCACTCCCACGGCCACTGCGCATGGCATGGATTGCGACTGAACTAGACGGCTAGGACTCACGAGCAGCATCTCCTGCAACTTCCTTCATTTTATTTGCTCCTGAGTCCCAGCCATCTTGTTTAGCCCCAATCCTCTTAGCAGCATAAGAAAGATTCTCGGCGGTGGCAGAATAGTTTCAGGAAGTCCGCAATTGACATGTGACTGAGGCCCTGTTAGGGTATATTTTCACCCTCGATAATTTGGGACCATTATTCGGAGGATAGCCTTTGCAGCCTATCTGGTCAGTACTAGTACGAGAGCCATATTGTGGAAGAGATTGGGTTCTCATCGTGTAATATTCCTAAAGACGTGGTACACTAGTCAGCCTTCATTATGGAGATGGCACAGAATAAATAATAAACTATATCTACGTCAGTAGACAACGAACCACAAGAAACCACTAGACATGGAGACCTGTGCCTGTGACCTCTGCCCCATGCGCTGCCTAATCCTCAAGAGAAGAGACTAACTGACATCAGTATACATCTGTTGTTAACTATTATTTTAAAAATTGTTTTTTTGGGGTTATAAAACTCATTGGCCATCAAAAAATGTTCTTTATCTTTTTATGAGGCGATTTTAGTCAGCTGATTCTGTCATCTTTGTACACTTTACTAGAAATACATTAAAATCTACAAATCAGTAAATTAATCAGATGCAGTCTCCACATTGAAGATTGGTTATAGTGGATCTCCAGCATGCTGTTGACCTTGGACCTTGATGCTCTCTCTGACACTGCTCTTTGTCCGTCTACTAATATCCCCCTCCCCCTTTCCCCACATGTATAGCTGACTACCTTCTGCTTGCTTGCCTTCAGCTTTTCCCTCGGTGTGGGTTACTGTACTGTTTATTTCTTTTATAATAGGGCTTTAATTTGTTTTTCTTATTGGCCATGTAAAGATAGTTCCAATTTTTTTATGTGGACCAATCATTGCCCAGTGAGTTATGTAGACAGCATGTCAGCCACCTTTGTTACCTTCAACATTTCCTGGTACTCATTTCAAGCTTCATCGACTTGGGTGCCCGAATAATTATAAAAATTTGCCTTGATTGCGTTTCAGAAAGTATCCGGCTTATAGTAAAATTCCGATAGTATTTATTTATAGAATATTCACATAGTATCTACTTATAGCAATGACAAATTCAGTCTTTTTTTTTTAACCATCTTTGACGAAACATACAATACATCCAACATGAGAATGATGTTAATTTCAAGCGATGATTACTACATTTACATTTCTATTGTAAAATACAACTTTTCTGCTTTGCTGTTTGTTGAAGTATCATTGCCAGTTAACACACAATAAGAAAATTAAATTCAGACCATGGAAATATTTTGGCCACATTAAAGGACATGACAAGACACTCTTGTAAAAACTATATTTAAAGAAAAGTCTAAGGCAGATGAGGAAAAAGGTAATAATTTTATATATAACGTGTTTGTGTCTGAATATATATATATATATATATATATATATATATATATATATATATATATACATACACACACACACACACACACACAGACGTTTATATATATCTATATATGTATACACGTATTATACTTTAAAAACAAAAAGCAAATAAAATCAGGCGTAAGAATGAAGGTGGAGGCAGTAGTCACAATTGACTCTAAAAGTGGTAGTACAGTGGGACTTCACTTAACGAGCATAATTTGTTCCAGAATCATACTCGTTAAGCGAAACACTCGTTATGCGAAACAATTTTTCTCATATAAATTAATGTAAAATATGATAATGCGAAAAAAATACTCACAAAATGCTATGTATAACATTTATTTAAAGAAAATTATATTCATATTATTAAGGAGAGTGAATCGTCTTCATCTTTTTTCCAAACACTAACGAACCCACCTGAAATGCGAATTCGATTTGCAGAAACTAGTTTTTTCTTTTTTGTTGCTAGGAAGATGTCCCGATGCATTTGTTTTTGCCGACGCTTCAAAATTTGGCGCAAATGCAACACAGCATTATCATTAAATAAATTTGCAATGCGCATAGCCACTTCCTTATTAGGGTGATGCTTCTCAATATAAGATGCAACAGTTTGCCATGCTTTTAGCATTTCTCTTATTTCACCAGAAGATTTTGCTTTTCTGTTACCTCCTCCTCCTCTGACAAACTTTCCTTCAAAGCTTCTTGCTGTGAAACATAATGCAACTCTATGAGCTCTTCGGTGGTCAGCTCTTGGCTGTGCCCTTTGATATCACTGTTATCCACCTACAATCTTATGATAGTGGCCTAAGACACAATCTCGTTGATTACAGGTTCCATAGGTACTGTCTCGAACCCTCAAAGTCACAAATCGACAATGCTCTCTGGCCAAAGCTTCTTCCAAGCAGAAGTTAGGGTTCTCTTGGTAACCCCTTTCCCCGCCTTGTCGATCATCTTGAGGCAGGCAACGATGTGGAAGTGATTTTTCCTAAACTCTTTGAGAGTGAGGTTGGTCCCTTCAGTCACCTGAAAACAATGCTCGAAGAGTGCTTTAGTGTAGAGCTTCTTGAAGTTAGAAATAACTTGCTGGTCCATGGGCTGGAGGAACGGAGTGGTGTTGGGAGGCATAAACTGGATCTTGATGAACTTAAATTCATCATGGAGGTCATCTTGTAGGCCTGGAGGATTCATGTACATATATCACAATATAACACAAATTTGAGAAAATGTGTGATCACAAGTAACACTATGATGCTACTTGAACGACTGCTAAACACAGACTGATGTAACATGCGCACAATTCAGGACTTTCCCTCTCCTCGCCACTCGTTATGCGAAATGTCTCGCGTTAAGCAAGTCATTTTTTTACAATTTGTTTTGCTCGTTGTGCGAATTACTCGTTATGAGAGGTGCTCGTTAAGCGAGGTTCTACTGTATATCAGTTCTTGTTAAAGTAAAATTATATGTTGCTGTGTTATTATTTCTGTGTCAGCAGAAAATGTTGTTTGTGTGTAACCGCAAGTCTTCTGCTACTTTCATTCTCCCTACCGGGAGGAGTTAGCTGCTGTTGTGTAGCAGCAAGGTGCTCGCCTACTATTCGGTTTGGATTGTGATGGAGCTAGATTTTTTTCCGAAATGACCTTATCTCCCTCGTCGACCCAGCCCTGAATGGGTATCAGGTGCAGTCCTGGGAAGTAAAGGCGACCGGCTTGATGCTGACCACATCAGCCACAAAGTGCTGATTGGTCTATAAAATATAGGTCTGGCCCAATACACATGAAGGTGTGGCAAGGGTTCTTTTCTTTTGTAGGGAGATGTCGCATAATGCCTTAGGTTTCAGGTTCGTCCATAACACCTTTCTGAACTATCTGCGCTTTTCGGTCCGGCACCTGTGTCTCCAGCTTGTTTTTCTGTTTGAGTGAGCTTCCTTAGTTCATTTCCAACCAAGACCCTTTGCCTTGTTCGACTTGGGAGGCTTAATTGGTAGATTTGCTACCTTTGGTGTAGCTCGGCATTGACAATCTTGAGGAAAGGAACATAATTTTGACATTCAAATATTTGTAATATAAAGAATAGACCAATAAATGAACACTTCTTTTGCATATGGGTCTACAACAGTTTTTGAGCAAATAGGCTTGCCCATCAGCTAATAAAAATGCACCATCGGATAAATGTAAATCTGTTAAATGCAGGTTAAGATGTACTTGTTTTTGTCAACTCTGTATTGATTTAAAACCACATAAAATGTTTCTACATAAGTGACCACATTTACTCTTTTGTAGCTAAAGGAAGAGATCCACAAGAAGTTCAATGCCCCTGTGGAGCAGCTGTGCATAATTTTTGCGGGGAAAATTGTTAAGGACGATGAAACATTGGAACAGCATGGGATTAAAAATGGACTGACAGTTCATTTAGTGATTAAGTCAGTAAACAGAGTAAGTTGTATCTTAGGTTGTTTTAATTATTAATGCATTGTAAGCAGTTTCTTCTTGAATGTTAGAACATGCTAAGCATATGCTCAAGCACTGTCAACTCTATGCTGCTAACAGAGATGCATTCTGGCCTGTTTCAGCTACAATGAAGATAAAGCTGTATGATATACAGAGAAATATGGATTGCATGAAAGCTTTCATAAAGGCTACCTGCCTCCCGATATAATTTTTCTGACAGAAGGATCGATAAAGAATTGATTAGGAAATGACTTCCCTGCACTCGGAACATTTCTACACATGCTCCTTCTCCTTTAGTAGCCAGTGAAGCGTTGATATGCTAATAGTACCTATTGCAAGCTGATTAAAAGTCTGCCTATGTTTTCTCCGCAGTGTTGAATATCTTCCAGATCCCCTGTAGCCCACCCCTTACTAAATTAGTCTGTCAAGGTACTTGATCTGACCTGTTCCACTCTCTGCTTGATCCCAGAGAGCCTTCACCACCCCTGCTTTATCATACAATAGCTCACCACCCATAGGAGTGGCAGCAGCCTATCTATCAGCCTGCTCATTACCCCGCACCCCTGAATATCCTGGAAAGAAAATCTATGATATGCTCATCAAGCGAACCAAGCCAGTCTTCTCATAGGACGCCAGTTTCTATTTTCCAAATCATGCTCTGTGAGTCCGTTACAATGACCACGTGTTGGGCTGTGCTGCTGTCAAGTCATAGGAAAGCTGCCGTTACCGCCTCCACCCCCATTCTCATACCGGATTTTTTGACATTATAAGAGAGGCTCTCTGTTTTCAATGTCCACCAACCTCTGCAATAAAATTCCACCCACTTTTTTTTTTTACCTCTCACCCCAGACCCATCTGTGTATATAACCATGTCTCCTGTGCGTCAATTTTCATTCAAGATAATACAGACATTCCTGCTGTCTTTGTGCCCAAAATTCACAGGAGACATTAGCAAAATATGGTATTTGGAATGCTATTGTCAGAACTTTCCTTGGTTTCTTCGTCTTCTGCCTCCCCCCTCCCCTGCATAGACCCTCAACCAATTCATGCCGAGTATTCCTGTCTTTTGTTTTTGCATGCAGCTCACTCCATGTCCTCTCTGTCTTTTTAGTTTCCTCACTCTCAACTCCCTTCTTGATTAATTTTTTTGGTCTGCTTTTGTTTTTGTGATGATTTGGTTGCAATAAGAATTTTTTCTTTCTTTTACAGACTGCTTCAGAAACTCCACCAAATATCACATCAAGTTCAGCCAGTGTAAGTCCATTTCCTTGTGTATTGACTTCTGTTTTTGTAAACGGATAATTTATTATTAAATAGAAGGGATATATATGTGTTACTAGAACCCATGAACAAACTGTATTTTAAAAGAGTCAGAAATTAATGTGTGGGACAAATAGTATCACTATAGCCTATCATGCCTGTCCTGTGAGTTGACTGACGAGATTTGACATCCGAGACTGGTTGCCTCAGCCCCCAGAAAATTTTTGCTGAGAATCAGGTCAGTCATAAAGAAGACTACCCTTGGCTTGGTTGACTGGAGAGCATTTGCTTTATTATGAATTGAAAGCCACATAATAGTATCTGTATTATTTAACAATTATTTAACAGAGATTCAAACAACTAAGAATGAATTGCAGCTTACTACCATTATGTGTGACATTGAGAGCATTTACGAGGTCCACATCTTTTAGACCAATTTGCACACAGTTATTAATCAAGTCCTTATGTTGGCCCCTGGAAGAATACTTAGTATCAAATTTAAGATGTTGGGTTTAGCCTTACGTTTGCGAGATGGTCATGAAAAAATCACACCTTTCAGCTTATAGTCTTATGTGCATTAAATGTTTAAAGATTTATATTTTTTAGCCCTAAGATGCTGCTAATCTGGCATCGCCATCTGTTACAAACCCTAGAGAAGCTGTTATACCGGTGTTGTAGCATTTGGGCAGTCCCCGCCAAGCCTAATTAACATCATGAGATCTGTGTGTGCCTGCACAATGTTTAGGAGGGCCAGATATGATTATATTTACCAAAATTACCATTGGAGGTGGGGGTGACTGTGTGATTTGGGAGGGGGAGGGGGTTAATTGCTTATTAGCCATGATGATGTCATAATTCTCCTTTAGCCTCTGGCAGTCGGAATCAGAATATGAGTCAGTGTATAGATTTGCTTTTACTTCTAAGGCTCTCATCGTTTAATTCTCTGCTATCCCTGTGTGGGTTCCAGGGCCCTATTATAGGGAAAACAAGAATAGACCCACTGCAGACCCAAAAGCATGTCTTAAGAGTCGACTAATTGTAAGCTTCCTTCAGAGTCGGAGGGCATCTGCCTGAGAGGCAAGGAACCAAGAGAAGAGTGCATAGAAATTATTCAGATCTGTGAAACGGATGCACATGCAACACTCAGGTTCTGGAATAAAGACTGCAGTCCAGAATTAGACGGACAACCAGAACTTTCCGCCAGTTTACAGCTGGTGAAAGCGAAGAAAATGGGGAATTCTCTGAAAAAGTCTAGTCCTATATACCCAATACGCCTGAAAGGCATGGAAAAGGGTCCTTTACTTTTACCTTTTTACTTGCAGGCTGCTCCTGATGTGTCCCAGACGCCATTTAATCTTGGCGGGCTTGGTGGCCTGGCAGGTTTGGGCGGACTGGGAATGGGCTCTGCAAATTTTATGGAAATGCAACAACGGTTGCAGCGAGAGGTACTGTCATGAACTCTTTATATTTCGTGTCCTTTTAATTGTATTTTATATATATTTGTTTATTTTTTAACTTATATCCATCTTGGTTTCTGTTTTGTTTGGTAATCCAAAGCTAGCATTGTTAATTAAAGCTTGGGGGAGAGGGGGGGGGGGGGTGCACTACTTTTGGTGGCCCAGTACTTGCATGCCTTCTTAAGGTACATTTATTCTCAGCAATGCTTTTCCAGATGTAGAAACATCTAGGTGTGGCTTTGTAATAGTTATGAATATCAAGAATGCATAATATTAACTGACACTTCTTTTTCCTCATTCATCGGAAGACTTAAATGTGCTGCATGAGTTTACAAAATGGCTGCAATATTTGCACCTTTTGGTTGGCACATCCACCTTCTGTAGGCAGTTGTTGCCTAGGTTAGCCTTCCCAGTTAGTTTCATTGGAAATTGCAGCCTCATTGTTTGTGGGTCGGCTCTTTGGCTAAGTCGATGCGAACACTTCGCTTCGTAATGCCGGGATGCCGGGTTCGATCCCAGCTGCGGGCAATGCGCCTTGCGTTGGTTTCGACAGTGGTATCAAGAAAGCCGACCGTCCAGAAAGCAATGGCAAACTACTGGACGTAATTTGCCTAGAGAAACTACACAACAGCCAGGGGCTGTTAGGGTTGGTTCTGCAATGTCCTGTAAAGGATACGCAACAACCTTTTTATTGTTTGTGGTCATTATTGTTTCCTGGTTCCCGCATAAACTTTTTTTAAACCCCTGCAAAAAGCAGCCTTTTTTATTATCATTAAGGGAGGTAATTGCCCAATTAAAAATGTAGCAAAGAATTAACTGCTTTACTCCCTTTGACAGTGGGAAGGAGAATTTATCATAGGAAGCAGAGCGATGTCATCAGTTTATCATGACCTCGTGATGACTCAAACAAGTTTGTAAATATACTCATGTCTACAAGCTATACAGTTGCAACTAGCGCCAGAGCTTGTTATGTAGGTGTAGTGGCCAATTTCCTCTAGGCTTTTATCTCCAAAGTGTTTTCAGAGTAAACGAGTTAATATTAGAGTTGTTTATACTTTGTGAATTGTTAAAGACTAGCTAATTGCTTTGTACTTCGCATAACCATTTTTAAAGTCCTGTATTTATAGTATTAATTAACAAGCTGGCAAAAATATTGTGGTGACGGAACACAGTCTAATTTATTATCAAGAATGAATGCGGACTTGCTGAGATTAGGCTAGGCCTGAGTGGTAATGTTTTATCTACAAGTTTATATTATATCATTGTCAGCAGACCCCCACCAAGTGCCAAGAGGGTATAGCTATATTGTTGAGTTGTAAAAAGATAAAGACAAATGGGGGCAACCACTTGTAACAACAGTTAAAATACAATGAAGATGGCGCTATATTTGACACATTCTTAGAAGAAACCATCAAAGTATCACCAAACAGGCTCTGAAAAGGGGGGGGGGGAGGCTATGAGAAAGCAGGGACGTTCAATAGAAACCTTAAGATGAATGTTGTTGAAGAAGAGGCCAAAGGTGCTGGACTGGATTCCATCCACAATATTTAAGGGATTGCTCAGGATAGAATGGTATGGAGGAACAGACTGTGAGACCTATAAAGGCACAACAGGACAGTAATGGTGTTGATGATAGCTACATTATAAAGCCAAATTTTTCAGTTATTACATAAAATGTCAACTTACTTTTTTTTTTTCAAGGACTACTGAGTCACCAGACTTTGCACTGGTATACTAATTTTTAAAATGTCTGATACTTGTGTTGCCAGATGATGAGTAACCCAGACATGATGAGACAACTCATGGACAACCCCTTTATACAATCGATGATGTCAAATCCAGAAATGATGAGGTCTTTACTTATGAACAATCCACAGATGAGGGAGCTAATGGAGGTAATTGTTTGAAGTACTTCTTTCCCCTATATCAGCTTCTTCTTGGCATTCATTGGCTGCAAACACTTGTTGGAAGTTCTGGTCGTTCTTCCACTTCTGGATTTGAATTTTGCCTGCAAATCTGATTTGCATACCTGACTTGTTTCTATGCAGAAGACTCTTGGTGGGTTTCCTCCCCTCTTGGGCAGATGCACTCTGACTTTGAAGGAAACCCCCCCTTCCCCATTTAGTTACCTTTTACGAGATGACTGATAGGGGACAGTGGGTCTGTGCTGGATTTGTTATTTAGCATTTGTAGTGTGGAGTAGCATTTATTGCTCTTATATCATTTTGAAGGTGTTAAGTTGTTGAGATATAGTGTAGGACTAGGTCTGACGAAAACAGACTTCAGGTATAAAACCAGCACCTATCCTTTTATGGGATTTCAATGACTCTGTTTTAATTCAGTTTGGCTCCAGTCACTTGCAGACTTATCACCCCTGCACTGACACTAAACAGGTGAAAAATGGACAACATGAACGACACAGTACGTTGCCATTATTTTTTGTTCACTCACCCACTGATTCTTTGGCCAGTACATAGTGAGGCATAACATAGTCTAGGGGATCTACGCTGTAATCTGTCGAATATTAATTAACCTTATCAGAAGATGCACGAATGAACACTCACACAGCGGCAGCTTAGAAATGACAACGTTCCTTGACGGACAAGACAGACAGTTCACTGCCCACGGCAGGTCAAACTCAGACCAGGTTGGGTAATGGAATCTCGTAATCAAATAGATGCACGTCGTCAGTCAAACTTAATTCAAAGAAGATTCTCCTCTTCACAAACACACAGTTCCTTGACCCAGGCGAGACTGACTCCCTAGATCTTTCTAGGCATTAAATAATCTTTCTCACCCACGTTCTGGATTGCCAAGCTTGTTTTTCTTGTGTTTTTCATTTCGCACGGGTTAAACTATTTGTTCGTTTGGCCAACATTTTCCTTGTGCATCCCGATCCATACTCAGTTAATTCGAATATCTAATTCATATTCATTACCTGACGTCATTCCTATTGTAACATAGTTTATCGGGGGAAAAATGGTTCACTACAGTGGTGAGCTAATCAGTAGAAGAATTAAAGAAACAAGTCGGATTTGTGGTTTATCGTTATCTGAAGAAGCATCTGTTGCTGTTATATCATTTTGAAAGTGTTTATTTGTTGAGAAACAGTGTAGGACCAGGTCTAACGAAAACAAACTTCAGGTGTACAAGCAGTACCTAGCCTGCAATGGCTGGCTTACGGGTTCAGAAGGTTAATATTGCACTAAATTGCAACTGCAGAATGCCAGCTAAGTGCTAAATTTGTGCATAAAAGGTTTTTTTTCTTGTTTTCAGAGAAATCCTGAAATTACTCACATGCTGAACAACCCAGAACTCATGCGTCAAACAATGGAGCTTGCTCGTAATCCAGCTATGCTGCAGGAACTGATGAGATCTCAGGACAGGGCGATGAGTAATCTAGAGGTCAGTGCTAGCTGTTTTCAACATGTTCACTGAAGCTGTAGATTTGTTAGACTAGACAATTCTGTGGAAGTCAAAAGAGGTAAGTAAACTACCAAGGGGGTATGGGACCAAAACCAATTAATTTCAAGCTGTCATGTGGCTTACTCCATGCTTTCATCATATTCGCTTGTGACTCCAATTCTTCTCTCTGTTGAAGGATTTCATTCCTTCTTTTCTACAAAGCACCATTTATTGAATACTTATAATTTAAAGTTGTTTGAGACCGTCTCCATATGTCGACTTCAATGGGCAGTATTGATTTGTAATCAGATTTCTAAGTTTTGTCGTTACTGTCTGTGTGTACTGCTTGGGGGAGAGGGGGGGGGGGGTAATTGAGCCTAAGCATTTAGTTCCGCCTGGGTAGCGTTGTTGCCGTGGACTGTGTGGATTGGGAAATGTTTATTTTGCTACAACAGGAATTGGGGAGGGGGCACTACTACCTACCTACAGATGAAACCTGGGTCTCACTTGTAAACCCAGTGTTCCAGCTATTTAGCCAGTCACTACTTGAGCGTAAATTTCTGTATACTTCCTCAAACTTCTTAGTGCAATGAATGCTGCTCTTACTTTTTTGTATTCCAATTGTTATACCTGTATCTTACTTTTTGTATACTCATTATTGTACCTCTATCTATTCCCTGTTTTTGTGGAGAAAGGACAGTAAAATGGCGCCGACAGTAACGTAAACAATAAACTGTTTCACACCTTGAGGCGCACCCCTGTGCAGGGTTCCCCACTCTCATGAAACCAGCTGCACATTTGTATTCAGCAGAAGTTTATGTGAGTCTCTGGCGCAAAGTTAGTTGAGTATCCTTTACAGGACGTTGCTGAACCAACCCGAGCATTTTTTCGCTTTTAGAGTTTTTTCAATGTAAATTTTATGTTCAGTAGTTTACCATTGCTTTCTGAAGGATCAGCTCTGGGTACCACTGTCGAAACCAACACAAGACGGTCTGCTGCCGAATCCCTTGCAGCTGGAATTGAACCCGGCATATCAAGGCGCATTCAGAACGCCTAAGCCACTGACAGTGGCATCTGTATTATGGTATTGCTAACTCGCTTTGTAATGCCAAGGTGCCAGATTCAATCCCAGCATCAGCTAATGTGGCAACAGACCGTGGTTTCAACTGCGAAAAATTTGCCTTGAAAAACCACAAAAGCCACACACAGAAAAAAGCTGGGGTTGGTTCTGCAACGCCCTGTAAAGGATAGGCAACCAACTTTTTAAATCCTGGCACAGCTGCAGAAGACCTGCACCTTCCAAAGAATAGAATGGGCTCCCAAGATTAGATATCTGCTCAGCTTTAGTGCAGTCTCAGTAGAAACTTGTTCAACTATAGAATACTTTACAGGCAGCACTATTAGTCACTTTCTTTGAGATCTGTTTGATATCTTGTCTATCATTTCTCTGTTGATATGGCGCTGTAGCAAATTTCTGATCCTCTTGAAGTGCTTAAAATGTCACTGTTGGCCTTTCTTGCTTGCTATTACTGCCTGTAACTGTCTGTTGTTTTAGACACCTAGATTGTTTCTGTTGGCCCTTCTCCTCTTGGTCTGGTCCTTGAGATTATGGAATATTGTCTGCCTGTAAACTCTCTTTAGTGTTTAATAGAATGGGGTATTGAATTTGTCATTTAACCTTTTCACCCTGTCAGGTTTTTTTTTTTTTTTAAAGACCCTTTTAATCATGCCATGTATTATTCATGTCTACACATATTGCAGTTGCAACAGTACCATGGCTGTTACATAGGTGTAGTGGCCACTGCCCAAAGACTTCATGTTATCAAAAGGCCATAAATGCCAGAAAAATGGCTTTCGCCTGGTGGCAGGGTTAAACAAATGCTCTCATTATCTTGTGCTTAGTGTAGGGCATTAAAGACTGAACCACATTGGACTGCAGGTTACTTTGTAACTGTTGTGTGCCTTAACTCTTTCAGTCCAAGGGGATTTAGCATTCAAGAGGCGAGCATCTAGCCACTGTGCTACGGCGACTCCCTAAGGGATAGTCAAGAGCGACGTAAAATTTGTGCATCTTGCATTCATTGTGCTTCTAGGTAGGAAACCTATGAACACGTGATGCCTTCCTTGGGACTGAAAAGAGTTTAAATATATTATATTATACAGTTAAATGGGGTTTGTGAGATTGTCTCTGTTGGATTCTATCTGAATAGTTCCTCTTTAAATCACTAGGTATTAATCTTTTCATAATGCAGTCCCAGAGGTGGGAAATTTAAAAATAATAATGCGGATCGATGAATGGCATAATCTGTTGTTATTTCAGAGTATCCCGGGTGGCTTCAATGCACTTCAGCGCATGTACAGAGATATACAAGAGCCGATGATGAATGCAGCTCAGGAAACAATAGGATCAAACCCGTTTGCCTCTCTTGTCAATAACTCATCAGGTAATTGGTTGATGGAGTCAATGAGTGGCCAGATTTTTGTCACACTGCTGACTGTGTCAGATTATATACAATAAAAATAGTTGTCTTTTAGGAGATAATTCACTGCATAAATTATGCCTTTTTTTCATATGCATAGCTTTCACATTTACCTATTATGCCTTTTGACCATGCTAATAAACTTGAGATTTTTGTCATATTTGTAAAATCACTGTGTAAATGTGCTGGATAGGACATGCAACAAGAAAACTTGATAGCTGTAATGTCTTTGCACTTGAACCCACAGGATCAAAGGAATAAAGACATCACACACAGCGATAAACACCCGATGACCAAATGGCCAAAAACACCGGGAGAAGAGAACTAGACATTTGGCCATATTTTCCTGCCTATATTGCGGCCCCTGGCAAAAGCCAGAGTAGGGCTTAAATGACAAAAAAATTTCGTCCTTGGACATAAAAGAAGACATAGATCAATTCAGGGGGGGGGGGGGGTTGCATATATGAGTTGATTAAGTGTCTGAAGTCCGCTGGGGGGTAAAAGGCAGAAAAAAGGAGATTGTAAACTGTAGAGCATTAAAAGAAAAAAAAAAGTAAAGATCCCTTTTTACACCTTAGGCGCATCGGGCATGTGGGGAAAGCACCCATATTTTTACTGACCAATCGCCACTAGGTGGGTAATATACATACATACTAGCACCCATTTAAGGCCCCATACCATGATAAAATTCCACTCAGCCAGTAGTGGGTTTCGGTGTGTTAGAATTACGAGTCGTAGAGCATTTACTCTTAACTATAAAGAATGGTAACATCATGGTCTGTAGATTTCACCCTTTCACTAATCAAAAATAGGATAGCAGAACACTGCTCCTCTGGCGTATGTGAAAAGTTGGGTGCCCCATGTAGGTTCCAGGGCTCCATTGTGGGGAAAACAAGAATAGACCCACTGTCTTCCATTGTCATGCATCTGCCTTAGGGGCAAGAAACCAACAGTCTGCATACAAGTTAGTCAGATCTGTAAAACAGATGTGTATACAACACTCAGGTTCTGGAACAAGTCCAGAGGGGGGTGAACAACCAAAACTCTCCGCCAAAGTTTACTGCTGGTAAACGTGAAGAAGAAGAAAAAGTCGGGTGGCAATCTTTAAACTTGCTTTATGACATCACCTTGACGTCCATATCAACAGTAGAGACAGGTTACGTAACAGTAGCATGGTTATTATAATTTCTGTCACACTGTTATTGGTTTCATTGAAGGCTCCCTCATATTTCCCCACATGTGACATATCCTCTGTTATGTGCCGTTTGATCACAACTGGACTTAGTCATGTGTACCATAAGGATGTATAAACTAGATTACTTGTCTGCCTAACTGTTAACTATTTATTGTCTTATCACCCCAGTGTCCTTGACTACTCCTGCCTGTTAACTATTTATTGTCTTATCACCCCAGTGTCCTTGACTACTTCTGCCTGTTAACTATTTATTGTCTTATTAACCTTATCCATAGTCAGAGTCCTCGACTACTTCTGCCTGTTAACTATTTATTGTCTTATTACCCTTATCCATAGTCAGTGTCCTTGACTACTTCTGCCTGTTAACTATTTATTGTCTTATTACCCTTATCCATAGTCAGTGTCCTTGACTACTTCTGCCTGTTAACTATTTATTGTCTTATCACCCTTATCCATAGTCAGTGTCTTTGACTACTTTTGCCTGTTAACTATTTATTGTCTTATTACCCTTATCCATAGTCAGTGTCCTTGACTACTTCTGCCTGTTAACTATTTATTGTCTTATTACCCTTATCCACAGTCAGTGTCCTTGACTACTTCTGCCTGTTAACTATTTATTGTCTTATCACCCTTATCCATAGTCAGTGTCCTTGACTACTTCTGCCTGTTAACTATTTATTGTCTTATCACCCTTATCCACAGTCAGTGTCCTTGACTACTTCTGCCTGTTAACTATTTATTGTCTTATCACCCTTATCCATAGTCAGTGTCCTCGACTACTTCTGCCTGTTAACTATTTATTGTCTTATCACCCTTATCCATAGTCAGTGTTCTTGACTACTTCTGCCTGTTAACTATTTATTGTCTTATCACCCTTATCCACAGTCAGTGTCCTTGACTACTTTTGCCTGTTAACTATTTATTGTCTTATCACCCTTATCCATAGTCAGAGTTCTTGACTACTTCTGCCTGTTAACTATTTATTGTCTTATCACCCTTATCCACAGTCAGTGTCCTTGACTACTTCTGCCTGTTAACTATTTATTGTCTTATTACCCTTATCCATAGTCAGTGTCCTTGACTACTTCTGCCTGTTAACTATTTATTGTCTTATCACCCTTATCCATAGTCAGAGTCCTCAACTACTTCTGCCTGTTAACTTCTAGAGGCATAGGCCCTCTACAGGCTCAGGTCAGTTCTTTTCATTGGCTTGGATTTTGCAGCTAGTTTTCTGTAGGAAGAAGTCATTTTTGCTTCAAAAGCCTCCATTAGTCAGTGATTCATCCTGCTTGATAGATGGCAGTGATTCATCCTGCTTGATAGATGGCAGTGATTCATCCTGCTTGATAGATGGCAGTGATTCATCCTGCTTGATAGATGGCAGTGATTCATCCTGCTTGATAGATGGCAGTGATTCATCCTGCTTGATAGATGGCAGTGATTCATCCTGCTTGATAGATGGCAGTGATTCATCCTGCTTGATAGATGGCAGTGATTCTGTCATTTTCCTATTTGATTAATTCTGGTGTGTACCAAAATGCAGTTATTTCCCAAAAAATGTTTGGAAAAAAAGGGTGGTTTCAATGTTACATTATGCCTATTTAAGCATGTCGTAAAGAGCAACTAACCAAAATGTTGCTGAAATGGATAGGGTGGACCAAAATGGACATATATCGCAATCTAGCTGTAAACCACAACACAGCATGCCATCCACCCTTTTGAAGTTGAATGCAGAAGTTAAATTTTAAAATGTTTAATTTTTGAGGTGCCTGCTAATAATTCTATGATGATTTAGTTTTCCCTTCTACAGGCATTAACTCTCTCACGGCTGCTATTGTATTGTATGATTAGGGCACTTAATCTATACTTGTTTGTGAGTTTGTAGGTTTTGTATATTCTAATCCTATTCTGTGGTTGTTTATTAAAGGTATTGTGTATTCCCATTCGTGTGTCACCCATAAAAGAAGCAAAAATTACTAACACTGTAACCTATCATGATATTTGTAAGAGGCAATTAAGGTGTGTTAGCGTGTGCATAGCTACCTAGTTTTATCCTCCAGGAAAAAGAGCAACCTGTTCAAACAAGAATCCAGTCTTCGGCTGAAACCTGATGTGACAAACTTAACAAGGTCACAATCCAGAGCTATTCCATTAACTCGGGGGCCAAAATTTTGAAAGTGGTGATTGTCAGGGCCTGAGGAATGTGTACCAGTATAGAAATATCATCAAAAGATAAAAGTGGCAGTGATCTACGTGCCACTTGCTAGTCCTCAACGGGCCAGATTTGGCCCGCAGGCCGTCATTTGAATAGCCCTGTCATATCCCTCACTGTTTTAAAGCTGTTTTTGTGATTTAATTTATTTTCATTTTCCTAAATCATTTCAAAGTGGCTGAAAACACCCAGCAGGGCAGAGAAAACACAGACCCTCTCCCTAACCCATGGGGTGGCTCAACTACTACTCCTGCTTCGACCAGACTAGCTGGGAGTGCACCTGCTGGCACCCCAAACTTTTCACAAGGTAGGATTCTCTGCCCTTTTGTACATGGTCTGTATTTACTCTCTGCTGTCAATTTTTTCCAGTGGAGGCAGATCAAGCACCGAAGATGTCCTTTGGCAAAAAAGGTGCAAGAGATGTTCATGTGGAGGCGTAGTTTTTCTTGGACACAGTGAGTGTCAGTGGCAGGCTGTCATGAGAATGAGTTTGGTGTACTGAACATTCTTCATATTTTCATATGTGGCCAATAAGGGAATATCTTATGCTGTGGTTTTGCATCAGATTTTGTCTAGAGTGAAGCAGTAACAAAATGGAGACAGTTCAGAAGATTGATAATACCAGCTCACAGATTAAATAGTCATACAATCACAATTTAACTTCTGTCATGCTCCATAGTCTTCGACATTGCAATCGTGTGGCTGCTCCATGATGAGAATGCTGCTAACAATGACCTGGGCTGAGTCGGTCCTGAGAAGACATTTAGTCATTTATGACAATACTGTACTCAGTTCCTAGAAGCTTTCCTGCTTCGAACAGTGATAGGACCACTGGGAAAAAAGACATGGGTACAGTCCTCAGGAGACTAGACTGTATATTAAGGTTTGTAGCTCCTGGCGAATAATTGCATTTTTCTCAGCCACGGGTCAGATACTTTTTGAACAGACCTCCTTATCCAGATTGTTGTTATTAATGCTGTATTCACAAAATTTTTAACTGCAAAAACAAAGTTATTTCACATCACATTTAACTAAATCAGATAAGCACCGAGGAATTTAGAATATCTGTAACAAGCAGTATATGAGTGTTCTATACATTTGGATCCTAGTGTTATATCCGGATCACTGACGAGGGGAGGATCTCCACCCACCACCCCACCCCCCAACAAGCATGTCGTAGAAGGTGACTCATTAAAGGGGTTTGATAAAAAACGTGTTGGTCTGAAAAACACATATATCACAGATTAGCTGTAAACCACAACTTGGCATGCGATCTGCCTTTTTAATGATGAACCTGGGAAAAGACATAAAGGTAGAAAACAACTGAACATTTTTCACAGCTTATTGTTGTGATTTGAAGAGTGTAAACACATGAACTGATAAATGCTGTTGCAGATCACAGGGTTTAAATAGAACGACAAGCAAAAGGGGTTGAGACCCCGGACAAGAGTACTGTAAGAAAGCCAAAGAAGAACAGCAAGGTAACACAGAATTGTGTCAGCGGCTACACACTGCAGGATTTACTGAGGGGGCAATCTGAGCATTTATGGACTGATTGGTTCAATGTGTAATGAGGCTGATTTGTCAACAAATTTGGAAAAGAAGTGAATGATTGCACATACTATTTGTTGTATGTCTGTGCAGGCATGTTCAACAGCCCAGGTATGCAGAGTTTGATGCAGCAGATGATGCAGAACCCTCAGATCATGAGCAACATGTTGCAAGCTCCCTACATGCAGTCTATGATGCAGTCACTAACCTCAAACCCAGAGTTAGCCCAGCAGGTAATTAGTTACTGTTGCTGTCACCTGAACTTCGACTGTTACAGATTTGTTTAAAGGTTGCCAATTAAAAGTGGTCTGGAACCCAGCTGTTCTACCCTCTCATTGCTATAGACTCCTGTATGTCTTGTCTGACTCCACTCCCTCTCTCTATCTCCCCCCCCCCCCTCCTGTGTGTGTATATCTCTTGTTTGTTTTTACAAAATATATTTCATAGGTTGGCTGTGCTCATAAAAGTCACCTGGTCAAACCATGAAGATCTATTTTGTTGGTTAACTTTTTGTGTCTATAGTTTCAGGTGGCATGCGAAAATCAAGGAACACCATCAGATTGACAAACTGCTGTCATCATCCCGCTGTGGAAAAACAAAGGAAGTAAGAGGGACTACTAATTACAGAGGAATATCGCTTGTCAGAGCCTCTAGAAAATGGGTACCAGGGTTGACACTCTGGGGTAAATGGAGGAACGTCGCTGTAGCTACAGAGTTACGTGCGAACAGCGACACGGGCGGACAATTCTTAGCTGTCCGTACTGGTGGCAGAGCACTTAAGATTTATAACCGTGTGCAATGACGCTGGTTCACATCTCCCAACTTTACCTTTACCGGGAAAATGTATGCTAAGATCATCGAAAGAAGGCTGAGACCAATGATAGAAGCACTTTCAGAAGCACTGATGGGCTTTCGACAAAACAGAAGTTGCACAGATGCCATTTATACATTGAGACAACTATCAGAGAGAGCAATAGAATACAATAAGACCTGGGTTGTTTTTTTTTCTTCGACATTTATAGACCAGGAAAAAACCTTCAATGGAGTCAACAGGAATATCTTTTGGGAATGTATGGGGGAAAAGGGAATCAGTAATCATCTTATCAATATTTGCAAAAGCCTGTAAACTCATAGTAAATGCTGCATAAGATCAAATGCAGGATTGTCAAGAACTTTTATGGTGAACTTTTGTGTGCATCAGGGCTGTGTACAATTGCCACTTCTTTTAATAACATGTATGGATACTGTATTTAAGGAAACAAACTTTAATCGTAAAGAAGATATTACAGAATTGCTATTCGCCAGCGACGGTGTACTCATAGCAGAAAGTTTGGAATGCGTACAGAATCACCTAAATTAATAACAAAAGGGAGAAATGTAATATTGAAATAAACACTATGAAGACAGAGACAATGGTGATAGGAAGACAGAAAGACAATTGAGAAATAGAATCAAAAAATAGTGTCTTAAGACAAACAAAGGAATTTAAGTATTTGGGAGCAATTTTCACATCCGATGGAAAACTGGACAGAGAAATTAGCTCAAGATGTGCCAGAACTTATCAAGTAATGGAACAACTATCTCCCCTGTTGACACACAAGCAGATACCCCGGAGTACTAAAGTGAATCTTATCAGAATTATTTTTTGGCCAACACTATGCTATCAATGCCAAACGTGGATACTTACATCCTCTAATGAACGTAAAATTGTGCCAAAAGAGATAAAATGCCTTAGAAGAGCTGCAGTAGTGTCAAGGAAAGACAAAATACGAAATCAGACAAATGCTAGGAATAAAGCCAGTCTTGCAGGTCATCAAAGAACAACAAATGAAGTGGTTTGGACACCTAACAAGAATGCCCTGGTATTGTCTGCCACAGAGAGCTACGCTCAAACGTTACAACGGGTATAAAGCGAGCGGAAGACCTAGGAAAATATGGAGTGATGGCATTATGAACAGCCTTACAGAAATGAACATCAGTATTAATAGTGCTCTTAACAGAGCTCATTAACAAATGTTACATCTCCCCCTGATACTTCGCTGAGGTAAAAGGTGGAAGAAAAGATGGATATAGAATGGAGTAGTATGTCATAGCAACCAGAAAATTGGCAGCGAAGAGATACAGAGGGAAACCTGTTAAAAAGATGCTGCAGTCTGTCTTTGTGGCATAGAAGAATATTTGTCAGAAACGATTAACATTACATGACACAGAAGGCTGGACAGACATATTACTGATGCCACCATGCATAGTCCATGCATTCATAATTGTATCGTAAAGTAGAGCGATCATATCTGCGTCTGATTTCATTGGCATGCTGAAGGACTCTTTGCATACCATTGATGAGTCTGACATAAGATTTGAAACTTTTTTTTTTTATGTCATTCAGAACTTAACCCTACCAGACCTGAAGCCTTGAACCTAACTGTCCCCTATACCTGAGCTCCTAGGCATTAACGCGAAAAAACCAACATGATATACACCAATATTCGTTACATGCAAACAAGTGGCTAGAATAAGATGAAACTTAGAGACATTGTAGAAAATAGGCTTATCTTTTATCTAGCGCCAATATTTCACCTTTGTATGCCAATCCATTCAGGAGGATCAAGATTGTTTCTCAAAGTGAGCACCAGATGTTGCTTTTTGAGGGACACGCCCCCTTATCTTACTACCGATCTATTTCTAGATTTATAATTTTCAAGATTCTCCTCATTACTCGAGCTGAATGTATCACTTCAACTGTGTACGTATTCTTCATGAAATTATGACTTCACAGAGTCTGAATAAAGCAAAGTATCGATAACCTGTTGGACTATGAAGAGCCTAGAACTACATTACTTTCCTGTCCAAGTGCTTTGTTCATCAGCCGCTTGTTTTATTGTGAATTTTCAGAATTTTTTCCACGTAAAACAACAAATTTTATCCAAACACACAAGAGCAAACATCTAGGAATACTATCCACAAGGTCTGATTACGATATCTTTTTCACGCACTATGCAAATAGCCAAAAATTAGGGCCAGCGGTATAGCGTCAGGTTAAGTCTGGGTCCTTCTTCTTAGCGTTCACCAGCTGTAAACTCTGGTGGAAGTTTCTGGTTGTTCGTACACTTCTTGAGTTAGGCCTTGTTCCAGAACTTGAGTTTTCCCGCACTCCGTTTTACAGATCTGGCTTATTTGTGAGCAAACCTGTGGTTCCTTGCACGTCAGGCAGAAACTCTAACTTCAGAGGAAACATCTCTAATGTGTCGCCTCTGAATCCCTTGTGAGATCACTGTTAGTCAGTACTTATTGTTGGGGGGGGGGGGGGGGGGGGGAATTGGGCCTGTTCATTTTGTCTCCCCCCCCCCCCCTTTCTTCCTTGTTGGGGGGGGGGGGGGGGACAAAACAAACAGGCCCAATGCCCCCCACACACACTCAGAGTTGAGCCCCAGAACCCTCACATAAATTAAACTGGGTTAACTTGGGGGTCCTCAGTCAATTTAAAAATGTTCAATTCACTGTGGATTTAAACCCAATATATTTAGACCAGTGGGCATGTATCTAACTACTGCACTAAAGCAGCTACTGATTCATCAACAGATCCACATGCTGGCTCAACAAAGTCCTGAAACCTCTGTAGACTTTCTGTTTATACGTCACATACAAATGTTTACCGTTTTTTAACTTCATTGATATGCTGTATTCACAGGTGATTGCCAGCAATCCTTTGTTTGCCAACAATCCCCAGATGCAAGCAAACTTGTCTAGCATGATGCCAACCCTGTTACAGCAGGTAGGTCACTGGTGGGTTCCAGTTTTTAACTTAACAAGTGGATTGGGTGGCAGTTTTCTCATGGATGGATTCATAGTAGTTTAACTCAGGTGGATTCGTAGTAGTAGTTTATCTCATGGGTGGTGTCATTTGTAGTATATCTCATGGCCGGATTCATAGTAATTTATCTCTTGGGTGGATTCATAATGGTTTATCTTATTGGTGGTATCATTGGTAGAATATCTCGTGGATAGATTCTTAGTAATTTTTTTATAGTGGTTTATCTCATGCTTGGATTCATAATGGTTTATGTCGTGGATGGATTCTGCAATAGTAATCTGAAAGTGGATTCAGTGGTAATCTCACAGGTAGATTTATCAGTAATACTCTCACATGTGGATTTAGTAGTAGTTTATCTAATATGTAGATTCAGTGATTCTGTTGACGTGTGATTTACAATTGTTCATAATAGATAGGCTTACAGGTAGATTTGTTAGTAGTTTGTCTCACTGTAAGATTCATTAGCGTGTAGAAAAAATTTAGCATTAATAAACCGTTAATTGATGTTTGATAAAATGTAGGTTTAGGGAGGTGTATGATAGATGTACCAACAATTAGAAACAGAGACACTGTTGTATGTAAGGGTAAAGATAGTTTTATGACAGTTACTACTATTGAAGTAAGTGTTCTTCTTTAGTCTTTCTAACCCCCATTGGAGCTTAGGCATCAGCCAACTCACACCTGGTCGTTCTATCGCATGCAGCTTTCTCCTTGTCCTCCCCATTTTTTTAACTTCACTCTCTGTCTCCCTTCTACTTGTGTTGTTTTTTTTTTTTTTTCGGTCTTGGAGTAAGTGTTAGGTCGTCACTTATTCTTGACTGTGGCATGCAAGATGGAGGGATCAGTTTCCTCCTGCCTTTCTGCTTTTGCTTTGCAGAATTGAAAATGTTCCTACAGCTGTTTTCGTTTATCTGGATCTACTCCCATTTCAACAGCTATATAAATCCTATACTGACATACAAACATTAATCATGAGCAGTTGGCTGATTAGTGAAAAATGATATGGCAGCGGCAGAGATGTGGTTTTATTGACGAATGGTGTGAACACCAAGGACAGATAAAAATAATATTGAAGTCTTGAAAGAAATGGGCTCACAAAGAGAGCCGAATGGCCACATCAGATGGAGACAATCTACATTCATTTTGTCATGTCATGGAAAAGAGAAAACTGGAGTTCATAACATTTCCAGTTGGGTCCAGTTCCCCCTAAATGTCACTTTTCCGACTTGTTTGCAGAGACTTGTTCAAGGATGCATAGCTAATGCTATGTTGTGTTTTAAATGGATTTTTAGGAGAATTCCTACAGGCTCATACCCCCCTGTTTTTGTTTTTTTAACATTGCTGGGGAGGCAGGGTTCATCTGGACTTGCAGAGCCTCAAGATTGGCACCGCTATTAAGTGGAATTTGATCAGTTGGAATTACATTTGTACCACTGTAGTGATATGGCCGAGTACAGTTGACCATTCACATCACAATTTTCACGACACTAACACCCATCTCATAGCCTTTATTCATAAATAATCTATTTGACCTTCTTTGTTTTTTTATGAAAAGATGCAGAACCCTGAGTTACAGAGTATGGTTACAAATCCCAGAGCTGTGGATGCTTTGATGCAGATACAAAGTGGACTGAGTACACTTCAACAGGAGTCTCCGAACTTGTTCTCGAAGTTAGTGGTTGGGACACATGTTGGATTGTTTGCTGCATTGTGACAATTTTTTTTTATGTGATCGTTTTTTGTACAGTAAAACTTTGGTTAACCATTTAACTGTCAATTTCAGTTATTTGTCGTCTTTTTAGAAAAATGTGTATCAACAAACAAAAAGACATGTTTAAAGTTGTCCACGGATTACTTTTGCACCCTGCTGGAAGTAAATGCCCTGTATGATTGTGATGGAGTTGTACTTGATCTGGCTTCCCACAAACCCGTTACTTACTAACCAGTGGCTATTGTGTTCTGAATGCTGGTCTCAGTCGTGACAGAGTAGCATCTGTGTTTGGATGAATGTTTTGTTTCATAGTGCCCTTATATATAATGTATCTTATCTTGTATGTATTACATATTTCATATAATACATACAATATGTATTATATTGTATTCACTTTTAAAAGATTTTATTTTCATTTTCTTCTTAAGTCCGCAGTGAAGTTATGTTACTGTACATATGTATTAAGAGATATCTGTTATCCGTCTATTCGGTTATCCGTCACAGCCCTGGTCCGGGCCGTCTCGGTGAATCGACGTTTTACTGTATGTGTTTGTTTCATTAATTATTCTTGGATATGTTTTTTCTTTTCTGTATGGACTTTATGTGGTTGTGCATCTTTGCTTTTTGAACACACAATAAAGGTTTTTGTTATACATCTGTTTTATGTGTGGATTGTTTGCTACATAATTATATTTTATTCTAGAATTTGTGTTAGGATGTCTGTTGCATTATATTTATATTATTTGATAACTTCAGTATGTGTTGCACGGCTTGCTGTGTGGCACTAAGAATAGTAGTTTCTTCAATGCCATGATCCCAGACAGTCTAAAATTCTTCCTTTTGATCGCCTCCTTCAACTTACCTGTTAGCATGACATACTCCAGATTCCCCCCCCCCCCCCCCCCCCCCCCCCCCCCCCCCCACCCCCAGATCTGTTCAGGCTTCCTTAGAGATGTAGTTTTGCAGAGGAATGCTTACATTTAAATTCTTTGGGCAGCCACAAATGAATAATCTACATTGTTTGTGAAGAGGTGAAGGCATAAAAATGTATCACCAGCAACAGAAGGAGGCAGCCATCAGATTTTTGTCACATCTTAGAAAAGATGCACTGGAACACGGTTTGCCAACTGTAAAGATCTGTGAAAAGAGAGAGAGAGGAAATAAGGAACAAATTCTTGATGGCCTGTTGTCGAGGCATGGAAAAGTGACTACATAATTCGAGACATACTGTTGATTACAAGATGTGAACTTATTCACCCATGCCAGGCAGTAGGGCAGATATGAAAATATGAAGAAGAAAAATGCCAGTAACCTATTGGGCATATTTTTTAAAGACCAGTCAGCACTCTGTGAATGATTTGGTCCAAATCATGCCAGTCGGGTTCACTTCCCAGGGTGCCTGGTACCAGTTTTAGGCTGTTGAGGATCAGTTTTGAAGGAAAACAATCTAACTCAATGCAGATTTTAACCCTGGACCTTTGGGCTGACTGGTGAATGTCTAGTCGCTAATTCTGAGACGGCCTCACCTTGTTTATCCCTATGTATGTGAGTTTTTTTTTTGCTGTAAATCGAAAAGATATTAGCTAAAGTGCACTATTCATCTTTTTTTTTTTTCAAGTTATTCGCTCACTCATACATTCATGTATGTTTTTACACCTGCAGTTTAACAGGCGTGAGAAATGTACCAACTACAACTACAGGCGTGTCAGCTCCAGCTACCACCACCCCATCATCAACCACAGCACCAACAACAGGATCTGCTACAACTCCAGCTGGACAACAGGGCAACCCTGAAGCTTTCTCAACCCTGATGGCTCAGATGATGCAGATGATGGTTGGGGGCCAGCAGGTTAGTTGGTCATTCATTCATTGTCCTGTTGGTGCCATCGTGAGTCACTTTGAGCTCATAGTCTTTTTTTTTTTTTTTTTTTTCATTCCATTATATCAAGTTCAATCACTTGAATGGACCCCAGTCCAGCACTTTTCTCTTATCATTGTTTGCCTCAGAGTTTCTCTTGGATGTACTTTTTTTTTTTTAAATCTTTCTAGTTCCCATTTCAGTTTTTGTTTGGTGATTATATTTTTGTCTCTTAACAGAAAGCGTTCAGTATAGTGACATTTTCTCTGTCTTGTAACTGTTGACACAAGTGGTTGCTCAGACTTTTTTTTTCTTCACACTGGGGTTCATCTCATTTTATAGTTATAGCTTAAATAGTGTTATAGTGCTAACGGCACTGCCCTAGCAAAATTTGGAGTTTAACATCTTCCCAAAATATTTCGAGATCCTCGCCGGTGCAATGGAGTTTGTGCACTGCGCAGATTTTTCAGACTCAGGCTTGAGCTAGAAGTAGAACAGAGCAGTTTTGGATTATACCCATCTGCCATGATGTTGATCCGTCAAGTCAACATAAGCATCTATATTATTCTTCATATCTGGATCCAATTCTTGTTTTCAGACGCAGAATTCAACACAACCTCCGGAGCAGATATATGCCTCACAGTTAGAACAGCTGTCTACTATGGGTTTTGTTGACAGAGAGGCAAATATAAGAGGTGGGTATTACATTTGTTATCTCCATTTCTTTAATGAGGAAAACAAGTTCACCAAACAGGATTAGTTAGCAAAAGTAAAGAAACCTTTCTATACCAGTGGCAAATGACGCGATGTCATCAACATCATGTTGGCCGCCTTGGTGCTTTCTCAATATCCTACCCCAAACGGGGGAAATCCACAGGTCACAGGACAGTCTAACATTTCAGGGAGTGGTAGATAGGCTGCATGCAGTCGTGGAACCTAGGCTGCATGTAGTCGTGAGACCTAGGCTGCACTCTTGTGGGACATAGGTAGGTTGGGGTTAGGGCCAGTTCTACATATTTTGGGGTCGTTAAAAGCATCAGCAAGCCGGGAAACCCAGTCTTACCACCCTAGAAAATGTTGGACTGTCCTGTGATGTCATCTGGGGTAGGATATACGAAAGAACCTCCACCTTTACTTTCCTGAACGTTAGTTGATACCCATTTTAGGCTGGGAGCCAAGATCAGTTTTTAAACAAATTTGACTATGTGGATTTGAATGCAGAACCTCCTGGCTTGCAGAGGATCTTCTAGAAACATTTAGGCTAGAAAAAATAAATACTTAAATAAGGTTTTGCAAAAGAACTATTTTTGGCTAAGATGCTGCCAGTGTTAAGAGCATGTATGTGCCAGAAATCATAACAGAGATTAGATGTCTAAGCAGAACTGCTGTAGTAACAAGGGGAGAGAATTTAAAACACAAAAGCTAGAACAAGAGTAGACTGAAACCACTCGTATTGTTCATGTATTTAGTGATTGTTTTGCGTATGTGTGATCCAACATTTGAAAAAGGCCTGTGAGATGGCTGCCCACTTTTCCTGGAATGCCAGGGCAGATCACAGCAATTGACTAGAGCATCATCTCGGTGACAAACATTTCTGCAAAAACAAGTGGATCCAATCGCCTTTACATTAAACTCATTCAATTAGATTTCTGAAATCTCTATTTATGCTTTTCTCTTTCAGCCCTGATAGCCTCATTTGGTGATGTGAACGTTGCAATAGACCGGCTGCTGCAACACAGATGATTTGCTGCGGCCTTCATCGTTGATTAGCCCTCTACCTTGATCTGGCTGAGCTGTCAAACAAAATCTAGCTGTTATGTTGAAGAAAGTCATTTATTGTACTGCAGAATAGAAAAGCATGGTTATGTAATTATTGTTTTAGTGTCATCCCTTCAAAAATTCCCCTTTAAGGAATGTTTCATATGTTGCTAATTATTACCCAAGATACTTTGGGATTTGTGGTCTTAAAATATTGCCACTGCATGAATTAAAATTTTTTTTATTTACTTTTTCATTCTGTTGTGCTTGTACATTTTCTGGAATTTGTGAGAATCCATGTAATGTAATAGTTGAGACTGGTGAGATGTTAAGTGGATGCTGTTCATAGATACTTTTACGTTATTGATCATAGTGAGAGAAAGAAAGGTAATGTCACAGAGATAATATTATGTAGATGTTAGAGGTTAGGTCAAATAGACAATACTAGTATGAGGTAGTGTCACATATACAGTTCTAGTGTGAAGTAATGTTATAATAGTTGAGACTGGTGAGATGTTAAGTGGATGCTGTTCATAGATACTTTTACGTTATTGATCATAGTGAGAGAAAGAAAGGTAATGTCACAGAGATAATATTATGTAGATGTTAGAGGTTAGGTCACATAGACAATACTAGTATGAGGTAGTGTCACATATACAGTTCTAGTGTGAAGTAATGTTATAATAGTTGAGACTGGTGAGATGTTAAGTGGATGCTGTTCATAGATACTTTTACGTTATTGATCATAGTGAGAGAAAGAAAGGTAATGTCACAGAGATAATATTATGTAGATGTTAGAGGTTAGGTCACATAGACAATACTAGTATGAGGTAGTGTCACATATACAGTTCTAGTGTGAAGTAATGTTATAATAGTTGAGACTGGTGAGATAAGTGGATGCTGTTCATAGATACTTTTACGTTATTGATAATAGTGAGAGAAAGAGAGCTAATGTCACAGAGATAATATTATGTAGATGTTAGAGGTTAGGTCACAAAGGATGAGGTAGTGTCACATATGCAATTCTAGTGTGAAGTAATGTTACATGGACAATTCTAGTGTGAAGTAATGTTACATAGACAATTCTAATGTGAGGTAATGTTACATAGACAATGTTAGTGAACGATAATGGCACGCACATTGATAATACTAGTGTTTGGTAATATCACAAGAATGATATAGTAGAGGTTATGTGTACATATTAGAGATAATGTCACATAGACAGTTCTAGTGAGTGGTAATGTTACATAGGTGGTATTTGTGAGTGTTATTGTTACAAGATATTAGAGGTAATGTTGCATATTTGATAACAGTAAGAGATAATGTTAATAGACAATGCTGGTAAATGGTAATGTTACGTAGATGTAATAATGTTATTGTTCTGTCTGTCGGTAGCATGTCCTTTGCAGAACCTTCACTCCCATAACAACCTTCCGGAAAACTTCTCAATCATTAGCGAGGTGTCCTGCATCTGATACACCCTTCTGGAGATCATCTGCCACATCCTGCACTCATTTTCTCTTTGGCCTTCCTCTCTTCCATTATTGTTCTCTCTAAACTTTCATGACGTTCCAAGTGACTAAAAGATTTTCTGTATTTCATCGTCTTTAATAGCCTGTATTCAGTATTAATTTCTTGAAGTAATGATGCTTTTTTTTTCTTTACCCATTATATTATTAGAACCCGTCTATAACATTTGTATTCAGAAGCATTTATTAGGTTTTCAGGTTGTCTGGGATGGTATTGTTACATTACAGGATATTTTAGGTAATGTCGCGTACTTGATAATAAAAACAGGTAATAATTTCACATAAATGATAATTAACAAGAGGTAATCTAATTCCATGTCCTAATGTTGCCTTTACTAAGTTAATGGTCTTCTAGAGCCTGAACTGTTTTTAGAGAGACTGCTTATCAGTAGTGCCGATCACCTTAATCTTGACATGTTCTGCCACTGATCATCTTATGTGCCACTTTCATGCCATGCACCAGTTTCCTCCTCTCACCTCAGACTCTAATCCTACCAGTTGTAAAAGTCTTCTTGAATCCCTCCTCTCCCTTTACATCAGGGTTGTTCAACTGGCAGCCCACACCAGAAAGAGAAGGAGGGTTTAGATGTTGCAAGGATGATTATGATGAGCTTTTAGGCAGGGTCAGTTAGGAGAATTCTAGCAAGGCAGTTAATTTTTGGATTAAATGGCCAATGCTAGCAGGATCATCATGAGATTTATGTATACTATATATATAAATATATATAAAATACCATTGCTGTTGTGCCAAGAAAAAATATTGAAATGTATGCTTTGTATAAGGTTTTATTTATCTGGTCTTCTTCTTCGATCCTTTTGTCAGAAAATTTATATCAGGAGGGCGGTAGCCTTTATGAAAGCTATGTGCAGTCTCCATATCCTCTTGTATACCATAGAGCTTTGTCTTCATTGTGGTTGGAACAGGCCAGATTGTGTCTCTGTTGTTAGCATACAGTTGACAGTGTTGGAGCACATGCTCAGCATTTTCGGGTGCCACCCTGCAGGGACACGTCTCTGTGTTTCCTACACTGAAAAATTGGAACATGAATTCTGTTGTGCCCTGTCCTTAGTCTGAATATAATACACTATCCCTCTCTAGAGAGGTGATGAAGCAAGTCTTGGGGAGAGAATCTGGTGTGTGTATCCAGCCACCTTTCTTGGATGTGATAAGTAAGCATGTGTTTTATTAGTGTAGGGCAGAGGGCATAAATGCCATCAAGAATACAAAAATGCCTATTGTAATTCCTGTGTTGTTTTAGATAGTTATTTCTGTTGCTGCATTTTAGATAGTTATTTCTTTTTTTTGTGTTTTAAATAGTTATTTCTGTTGCTATGGGTTGACTTTAGCAGATGAAAAATTCAGCTGTTTCTGTTTTACAGTTCGAAATTTTTGTGTGAGAACATAGTCCAGCTTATATCATCAGAAGAGGGAATCAAGGTTGAGAAATTAAAAGAGGCTGTTGGAAGGATAATATGGAAATGGTGCTCAAAGTTTAGGCTGGGTAAGGGAAATGAGATCTCTAGAGGTTAGGTTAATGTATGTGCCTGCTAGCGTAGTGGCCGGGAGTTTGATCCTTAGTACTGACAGGGTCAGATTTTGTTTCTGATAAAATCAGTCTGTGGTCGATACAGTTTGATAAAATGGGTACAAAATCAGGCAGGTTTTTGGTCAAACATGTTATAAACACATTAGGCATAATAATAGTAAAAATTAAATAGAGCATTGAATGTATGATGAAAAGAGTTACTAAATATCTATAAACATTTGTTAATTAATACTTGCTCCAGGTAGAGAGTTTAAATGATATGATAGTATCAGTGGGGGAGAATAAACATTCCATGAAGTAAGGAAAAGAAGTTGGCATTGGATAGGACACACATTGAGAAAACCTGGTGATAGGACACTGTGACATGAGTTGGTTGAGAACATATGCGTCATTCCAGGATGGAGGGGGGTGGGGGTGTTCATTGTGCTATTGTAATTATGAAGACAATATCAACTACCAGGAATGGAATTTAGTCTTATGTTTGTTGGAGGCCTATTTTTTAACAGGGCAAAGGGACATTGATAATGCTGAATATTTGTGCTGTTCAGTCATGGAAAATGTGAGTCCATTATCCACAGGAAATCGGCAGATACTTAAATAGCCTTAAGGGATCACTACACCAAAAAGCGTTTTTTTTTTTTTTTTTATTTGCAATGTTAGACCAGTTATTTTATTATGGTCATTTGTAGAGATATATGTTAATACATTTGCATATATTGAGTTTAAAAAAAAATCATGGTTGCCATGGCAATCCATGGGGGGGGGGGGGGGGGGGGAGTAACATGTACTTAGAATCCTAACATTTCAAAACCAAACATAGGTATTGAAAAATAGATGATGGATTCATGAACTGTAATCCTATGTTGAAGTACAGGTGTAGTTTATTTACTTTCAAGATGTTTCAAAATATCTTTCTTAGAATTTTAAAATGAAGGTTTGTTGAAAAGATCCAAAAATGTAAAATCATAAGATAGTAGTCAAATTTAAAAAAGCAACAACTTTCTAAAATCTACTTTTAAATAAACATGTCCCTATAATATTGTTTAAGGAGTATCCACACCAATTTCTTGTTTCTAGTTTTTATATTAGCTGCAATTTTAGTATTTTACACACACAACAAACAGAATTGTGAGAAAGCTGACTTTTAAACTTTTTTTTTTATCTTAAAAAAGTCCATGGGGGTGGTGTGTTTAGTATTAACTTGTCAATGCTAAATTGTTTACAAATGACATAAATCTTGTGTGTGTGATCTGTTCTATGAATTTTGTCTGGGACTAACTTAACTTTTACAGATGATAAATGAGAAATGTGTTGGAGGTAAATGACATAAATGATTTTGTGTGTTTAACTGATCTACTCTAGCTGTAGAGGCGAACTTTTGATACATGCTGTTGGGATTTCAAAATGGTTAATAGCCTTAACTTTTACAGATGATAAATGAGAAGATTCTTCACAGCCTTTTCTGTTGGAGATTTCAAGTTGTAGAGGCGTGATTCACTTTAACTGATACATGCTGTTGGAGATTTCAAGCTGTAGAGGCGTGATTCACTTTAACTGATACATGCTGTTGGAGATTTCAAGCTGTAGAGGCGTGATCACACATACCTATGCACATATTTTAGTCCCAGACAACGCACCCTGTGTGATATGCTATTGCCCAAAGTGAAGCAAGCAGTGCACTATGTGGTATGATAAACACCACTGAAATCTGGCCAGTTATTCTAATATGCAACATGGTCTGTGTGTGATTGCCTCTTTAAAGTTGTGCACTCATGCTCGTTTCATTGTGGCTAACGTTTCCGTTACGAGAATTTAATGATGACGATGGCCGGTGACTTTGGTTGGGCATTTAACATCTTGAGTTCTACTTTGTGATTTGACACATATAACAGAATATCATAAAAAATAG